CGCCCCCCGGGGACGGCTCCCCGCCGCTGGAAAATGGGGAGGGCGGCTTTGCAGCCCTGCCGGGCTCCCCGGGGGAAACGTGAGCCGCCATGCTGCAGCCAGACACCCACAGGGACGCACCGCAGAGGGATGGGGAGCCTCCACGGGGCTCCCAAGGACCACCGTCTCCCAGCTAGGGCTGGGGAAGAAGGAAGTTCATGGCCTCCAGGCGAAGGAAAACAGACGGTCCGAGGACAAGCGTCTCCCAGCTGGGACAGCAAAGAGCTGCCGCCTGGATCTGCAGGGCTCGTGGGTCACCGTTGGGATCCACAAGCCCACCTTGGAGCATCCCACGTAACCGCAGGGTGCCTCGGATAGGGGAAACAGCCCTCTGCCCTGACGGGTGACCCCACAGACCCCACTTGCCTGCTGGACAGGCCCTGGCAGGCAGCACGGTGTGCTGAGAGCCAGGCATCCCCACGATGCCTACCCACGAGCACGGGGGCCTTCCTACCACATGCTGCAGCTGCCCCGCCACCTCCACGCGCGTCCTTCGCTCCTGGCTCCGTGGGGCAGGAGAGGAAAAAGCAACGCCGTTTGGACCCGTTCCACACGGACCCCGTCACCCTGCAAAAGCAGCGAGGTTTGAGAGCAAACGCACAGACCCCTTCTCCCCCCGAGATCCCCCGTACTGCCGCTGGAATTGGGGTGGGGGAGAGAGAGAGAGAGAGAGAGAGGTCTCCGCCGGGCTCCTCCCGGCCGTCAGGTTTGGGAAGGAGCCGATGGAAGCCCCACCTGGACACAAGCACTGCCCATCGTGCCTGGAAAGGGTTTTGCCTCTGTATGGGAAGAGGAGCCCCAGCTCCGGCTCTGCCTGCCCCAAAACGGGCGCCGAAGCCAGGGCTGCTGCCTTGTCCTTCCTCTTCCCTTCCCCAAGCTCCCTTTGTACCAAACTCAAGCAATAAAAAGCACAAACCCAAGAAAACCAGGTGTGAGAGAAAGGTGATGGGGTCGGTTCTCTGGGGGGCTGCGGCAGGGAAGGGGGCTGTTCGGGAACCGCTGGAAACACGGCGACGCATCCTGGTGCAAGACCACCGGCTCCTCTTATTTTTAACGTTCGAGGGAGTCCTGTTTTCCTCCGCCTGTCTCTGAGCTGTGCTCCCACTCTCCACCGAGCCATCCCGGTGCGGCGGGGGAGCTCGGCCGCACCGGCACCGAGCGCTCCCTCCGAGGGCTGGGGCACGCTGGAGGTTTCAGACCGCGCGTCCGCTTTTAATTGCGAGGGGTCTGGTGGCTGGGAGGCAGCCAGCGCTCCTGCCACGTCCTCTCCCGCGCTCACGGGGCGGATGCTGCCCGGCTTTTCCACACACACACACACACCCCCCTTCCCCGCTCTGCGGCGGGGAACGC